GACACTTCTGACTAACCCTTCCATCATGTCATTCACATACACCAAAAATAGCACTGGTCCTAGGACTGACCCCTGTGGGACCCCGCTCATCACAGGTACCCACTGTGATACCTCATCATGTACTATGACTCATTGTTGCCTCCCTGTCAGGTATTTTCTGATCCACTGCAGTGCCATTCCTGTTATACTTGCCTGATCCTCTAGCTTCTGCACTAATCTCTTGTGAGGAACTGTGTCAAAGGCCTTCTTGCAGTCCAAGAAGATTCAATCAACCCACCCCTCTCTCCCGTGTCTTACTTCTGTTACTTTATCATAAAACTCCAGAAGGTTTGCGACACAGGATTTGCCTTCCATAAATTCGTGCTGGTTGGTGTTTATACTCTTGTTCCATTCCAGGTGCTCCACCACTCTCCTCCTGATAATCTTCTCCATGACTTTGCATACTATACACGTCAGTGACACTGGTCTATAGTTTAGTGCCTCTTTTCTGTCTGCTTTTGTGTGTGTGTGTGTGTGTGTGTACTCACCTATTTGTTATTGCAGGGGTCAAGTCATAGCTCCTGGCTCCACCTCTTCACTGATTGCTACTAGGTCCATTCTCTCCCTGCTCCACGAGCTTTATCAAACCTCGTTTTAAAACTATGTATGGTTTCTGCCTCCACTATGTCACTTTCTAGGCTATTCCACTTCCTGACAACTCTATGACTGAAGAAATACTTTCTAACATCCCTTTGACTCGTCTGAGTCTTCAGCTTCCATTTGTGACCCCTTGTTTCTGTGTTCTCTCTCTGAAACATCCTGTCTTTGTCCACCTTGTCTATTCCTCACAGTATATGTCGTTGTCATGTCACCCCTGACCCTCCTGTCCTCCAGTGTTGTCAGGCCGATTTCCCTGAACCTTTCTTTGTAGGACAATCCCCTTAGCTCTGGGACTAGTCTTGTTGCAAACCTTTGCACTGTAATTTCTTGACGTGCTTGACCAGGAGTGGATTCCAATATGAGCCTGATGTATATGGTGTACAGAGTCTTGAACGATTCCTTACCGAGGTATCAGAACGCTATTCTTAGGTTTGTCAGACACCCATATGATGTAGCAGTTATCTGACTGATGTGTGCCTCAGGAGATGTGCTCGGTATTATACTCGCCAAGACCATTTTCCTTGAGTGAGGCTTGCAGTCTTTGACCACCTAGACTACTCTGTCTACGGTCTTCTTTGCCCTTCCCCGATCTTTATGACTTTGCATTTGGCGGGTTTGAATTCAAGGAGCCAGTTGCTGAACAAGGCTTGTAGCCTGTCCAGGTTTCCTTGTAGTCCTGCCAAATCCTCAACCAATTTAATTTTCCTCATTAACTTCACATCATTTGTAAACAGGGATACTTCTGAGTCTATCCCTTCTGTTATGTTATTCATATATACCAACATCAGCACAGGTCCTAGAACTGACCCCTATGGAACCCCACTCATCACAGGCACCCACTCTGACACCTCGTCACCTATCATGACTCACTGTTGACTCCCTGTCAGATATTCTCTGATTCATTGCAGTGCCTTTCCTGTTATGCATGCCTGATCCTCTAGCTTTTGTGTTAGCCTCTTGTAAGGAACTGTGTCAAAGGCCTTCTTGCAGTCCAAGAAAATGCAGTGTGTGTGTGTGTGTGTGTGTGTGTGTGTGTGTGTGTGTGTGTGTGTGTGTGTGTGTGTGTGTGTATGTGTATGTGTATGTGTGTATGTGTGTATGTGTGTATGTGTGTATGTGTGTATGTGTGTATGTGTGTATATGTGTGTGTGTGTGTGTGTGTGTGTGTGTGTGTGTGTGTGTGTGTGTGTGTGTGTGTGTGTGTGTGTGTGTGTGTGTGTGTGTGTGTGTGTGTGTGTGTGTACTCACCTATTTGTGGTTGCAGGGGTCGAGTCCTAGCTCCTGGCCCCGCCTCTTCACCGGTTGCTACTAGACCCTCTCTCCCCCCGCTCCATGAGCTTTATCAAACCTCGTCTTAAAACTGTGTATGGTTCCTGCCTCCACTACGTCATTTCCTAGGCTATTCCACTGCCTTACAACTCTATGACTGAAGAAATACTTCCTACTATCTCTCTGACTCATTTGTGTCTTCAACTTCCAATTGTGGCCTCTTGTTTCTGTGTCCCCTCCCTGGAACATCCTGTCCTTGTCCACCTTGTCTATTCCACGCAGTATTTTATATGTCGTTATCATGTCTCCCCTGACCCTCCTGTCCTCCAGTGTCGTCAGGCCGATTTCCCTTATCTTTCTTCATAGGACATTCCCCTTAGCTCTGGAACTAACCTTGTTGCAAACCTTTGTACTTTCTCTAGTTTCTTGACGTGCTTTATCAAGTGCGGGTTCCAAACAGGTGCTGCATACTCCAGTATGGGCCTGACATACACGGTGTACAGTGTCTTGAATGATTCCTTACTAAGGTGTCGGAATGCTGTTCTCAGGTTTGCCAGGCGCCCATATGCTGCAGCAGTTATCCGATTGATGTGTGCTTCCGGAGACATGCTCGGTGTTATACTCACCCCAAGATCTTTCTCCTTGAGTGAGGTTTGCAGTCTTTGGCCACCTAGCCTATACTCTGTCTGTGGTCTTCTGTGCCCTTCCCCTATCTTCATGACTTTGCATTTGGCAGGATTAAATTCGAGAAGCCATTTGCTGGACCAGGTGTCCAGTCTGTCCAGGTCTCTTTGAAGTCCTGCCTGGTCCTCATCAGATTTAATTCTCCTCATTAACTTCACATCATCTGCAAACAGGGACACTTCTGAGTCTAACCCTTCCGTCATGTCGTTCACATATACCAAAAATAGCACTGGTCCTAGGACCGACCCCTGTGGGACCCCGCTCGTCACAGGTGCCCACTGTGATACATCATTACGTACCATGACTCGTTGTTGCCTCCCTGTCAGTTATTCTCTGATCCATTGCAGTGCCCTTCCTGTTATATGCGCCTGATGCTCTAGCTTCTGCACTAATCTCTTGTGAGGAACTGTGTCAAAGGCCTTCTTGCAGTCCAAGAATATGCAATCAACCCACCCCTCTCTCTCTTGTCTTACTTCTGTTATTTTATCATAAAACTCCAGAAGGTTTGTGACACAGGATTTGCCTTCCGTGAATCCGTGCTGGTTGGCATTTATACTCCTGTTCCGTTCCAGGTGCTCCACCACTCTCCTCCTGATAATCTTCTCCATAATTTTGCATACTATACACGTCAATGACACAGGTCTATAGTTTAGTGCCTCTTTTCTGTCTCCTTTTTTGAAAATGGGAACTACATTTGCCGTCTTCCATACCTCAGGTAGTTGCCCAGTTTCCAGGGATGTGTTGAAGATTGTGGTAAGTGGTACGCACAACATATCTGCTCCCTCTCTAAGGACCCATGGAGAGATGTTGTCCGGTCCCATTGCCTTTGAGGTATCGATGTCCCTTAGCAGTTTCTTCACCTCCTCCTCATCTGTATGTATGTCGTCCAACACTTGTTGGTGTATTCCTTGTTGGTGTCCCCATCTGGTCTGTCCCCCCAGAGTCCTTCCTGTCTCTACTGTAAATACTTCCTTAAATCTCGTGTTGAGCTCCTCACATACCTCTTGATCGTTTCTTGTGAGTTCTCCACCTTCTTTCCTCAGCCTTATCACCTGGTCCTTGACTGTTGTCTTCCTCCTAATGTGGCTATACAGCAGTTTCGGGTCAGATTTGACTTTCGATGCTATGTTGTTTTCATACTGTCGCTGGGCCTCCCTCCTTATCTGCGCATACTCGTTTCTGGCTCTTCTACTAATCTCCTTGTTTTCCTGGGTCCTATGCCTCCTGTACCTTTTCCATTCCCTGTTGCACTTAGTTTTTGCCTCCCTACACCTTCGGGTAAACCAAGGACTCGTTTTGGTCTTCCTATTATTTCTGTTTCCCTTGGGAACAAAACTTTCCTCTGCCTCCTTGCACTTTGTTGTCACATATTCCATCATTTCGTTTACTGATTTTCCTACCGTTTCTCTGTCCCACTGAACCTCCTGCAGGAAGTTTCTCATACCTGTGTAGTCCCCCCTTTTATAGTTTGGCCTGTCCCCTTCAGTTCCTGTTACCTTCTCCACTTGTAACTCTACTATATAGTCAAAACTCAGAACCACATGATCGCTAGCTCCAAGGGGCCTCTCGTAAGTGATGTCCTCGATGTCTGAACTGCTCAGGGTGAACACAAGATCCAGTCTTGCTGGCTCATCCTCCCCTCTCTCTCTGGTTGTGTCCCTGACATGTTGATGCATGAGGTTTTCAAGTACCACATCCATCATCTTGGCTCTCCATGTTTCGGGACCCCCATGTGGCTCCAGGTTTTCCCAGTCGATCTCCCTGTGGTTGAAATCGCCCATTACCAGTAACTTTGCTCTGCTCGAGTGAGCTCTTCTTGCCACCTCAGCCAGTGTGTCCACCATCACCCTGTTGTTTTCTTCGTACTCCTCTCTTGGCCTCCTGCAGTTCTGTGGTGGGTTATACATTACTCCAATGACTACTTTATGTTCTCCGGACTGAATTGTACCTACAATGTAGTCTCTTTCTCCAATCATGTCCATGCCTTCCATTTCCTCAAATCCCCATTGGTGTTTTATGAGCAGTGCAACCCCTCCTCCCCCTCTACTCCTTCTATCTTTCCTCAGGATCTGATATCCTGTTGGGAAGATTGTGTCTGTTATTGTCTCAGCGAGTTTTGTGTGTGTGTGTGTGTGTGTGTATGTGTGTATGTGTGTATGTGTGTATGTGTGTATGTGTGTATGTGTGTGTGTGTGTATGTGTATGTGTATGTATGTGTATGTATGTGTATGTATGTGTGTGTGTATGTGTGTGTGTGTGTGTATGTGTGTGTACGTGTGTACACTTGCTCTTCACATTTCTTACAAGGTTGGAGATCAGATGTTTCAGAAGTGCTCCTTAATATATTTTACAGCTAATTTTTCTCCCAAGTCCTGAGTATATATATACATTGAGGCATTTATACTTACTCATCCTTTTCTATATAAAGATTCTGAAGCCAGGACTTGAGTGCCATCTCCTCATGTGGCACCTCTGTCATAGGGATTCGTCGAATATGAATGTGAACCTTTTTACACTTTCCCATCAGAAATTCTGAAAGGAAAAAAAAAAAAACTTAAATGGATGCTCTAAAAAAAAAAATTTTTTTTAATAGATGAAACATCTTAGTCACATATGATCAATATTAGATTTTTATATTTAAACACGTTAAATAATGCTTTTACATGCAATGCCACTTGTACTGTACAATACCAACATAAAAAAAAAACATGTTTGATGATAATTAATTTCTGGGACTTTATGTGGAGTGAAAATGAAATAATTCACAATAGGCTGAAGATGTCAGGAACCAATAAAATAGTTAAATTACAGGTACAAATAAGAGATCAGAAAAAATAGCAATTATATTTAACTCTAAAACATGCACATCCCTAAGTTTATTAACCTTATGTCTACTAATACAGGGTCTAAATATTATCTAATGCCAAACCCTTTTCTACACAAATTAATTAACTACCCCCAATTTTTATTTACTTTGGCACTCCAACCTTACCTACTACACCACCTATGATCATTTCATTTATTGTAGCATTTAGGCATCCCTGAAAAATAATTTTCTCACTTGGCTCTAAAACTCCCTACATTCACTAAACATCTCTTAAAATCTCCCTCTTCTACACACCTCTCACCCCTCAGGTGTATATACAACTACTATAATCTACCTCTCACATTTCCACATTTATTCCAACCCACATAATTCTTGTTGACACATTTTTTCCTTTCCCTATTTCGTCATTTAATATCATTATTCTTTCCTTGATCCAATTCTCATAGATACACCTGACCTAATCCCAGTAATCCCTTCCTGTTGAAATTCTTCCACCCCTTTTAGCTTAGTTTCATTTAGTGCTATGACAGCCAGTTTTTTATTCATAACATTAGCAATTCTTTATCAATACTACACCAATGAACATTCAAGCACCCAAGTTTCAAGAATTTCTTTAATATTATTAGTAACTGAATAGAAAAGAAGAATACATGAAGATATAAACCAAGTTTTCCAGTGGGCAACGAAAAGCAATATGGTGTTCAAAGAAGACAAAGCCCAACTACAGTGGTACCCTAAGTTTCGGCCATACAGTGGTACCTCGGGATACGAACAGCTCAAAACTTGAACAATTATGTAAGTGCATTTGTAAGTGTATTTTTGAGGGTCTGAAACGGATTAATCTAATTTACATTATTCCTTATGGGAACAAATTCGTTCGGTATCGGCACTTGAAAGGCCTTCTGGAACGAATTAAGCTCATATCCCGAGGTACCACTGTTCCCATAAGGAAAAATGTACATTAGATTAGTCCATTTCAGACCCCCAAAAATACACTTACAAAAGCACTTGCAATAATACATTTACAGATCTGTTCGAGTTGGGAGCTGTATGAAACTTGGGATACCACTGTACTCCGTTATGGAAAACTGGAGGAGATAATAAGTAGAATTGAGTATACTACAAACTCTGGGAGTGGTAATGTCTGAGGATCTCACTTTCAAGGATCACAACAGTGCCACGATCACAACTGAAAAGAAAATGATTGGATGGATAATGAGAACATTCAAAACAAGAGAGGCCAAGCCAAAGATGATCCTTTCCAAATCACTTTTTCTCTATAGGCTGGAATATTGCTGTACATTAACACACCTGTTCAAAGCAGGTGAAATTGCAGATCTAGAGGGTATACAGAGAACCTTAATTGCACATATAAGTTCTATCAAACACTTCAACTACTGGGAACGCTTGGAAGTACTTGACTCGTACTCGTTGGAATGCAGGTGAGAGTGTTATATCATGATCTACACTTCGAAAATCCTAAAAGGAATGGTCCCGAATCTGCACGCAGAAATCACTCCCTATGAAAGTAAACGACTGGGCAGGCAGTGCAAAGTACCCCCACTGGTACACTAAGAGAAAACACCATAAGTGCCTGGGGCCCAAGACTGTTCAACAGCCTCCCACCATGCATAAGGGGAATTACCAATAGGCCCCTGGCTACCTTCAAGAGAGAGCTGGACACATACTTAAAGTCACTGCCAGATCACCCAGGCTGTGATTTGTACATTGGACCATGTGCAGCCAGCAGTAACAGCCTGGTTGATCAGGCTCTAATCCACTGGGAGGCCTGGTCGTTGACTGGGCTGTGGGGGCGCTGATCCCCGGAATGCCCTCCAGGTAGACCTTTTACAGTACATGAATTACCTGAAACGAATTCTAGCCCACTATCCCCATGGGATAGAGATCATGTTTTTAGAAGAGCAACAGATATATTTGAAAATATTTTAGTGATAGCTACAGCAGGAGTTATGGGCAGATGAAACACAAAGGGAAGGGGGAAGAGGAAAAAAAAAGAAACAAACAAACAAAAGATGGAGCAATGCCAGGAGCAATGGGCTAGTAACCCCTTCTCCTGTAGACATTTACTAAAAAAGAAGAAGAAAAACTTTATAAAACTGGGATGCTTAAATGTGCGTGGATGTAGTGCGGATGACAAGAAACAGATGATTGCTGATGTTATGAATGAAAAGAAGTTGGATGTCCTGGCCCTAAGCGAAACAAAGCTGAAGGGGGTAGGGGAGTTTCAGTGGGGGGAAATAAATGGGATTAAATCTGGAGTATCTGAGAGAGTTAGAGCAAAGGAAGGGGTAGCAGTAATGTTAAATGATCAGTTATGGAAGGAGAAAAGAGAATATGAATGTGTAAATTCAAGAATTATGTGGATTAAAGTAAAGGTTGGATGCGAAAAGTGGGTCATAATAAGCGTGTATGCACCTGGAGAAGAGAGGAATGTAGAGGAGAGAGAGAGATTTTTGAACCAAGTGAGAGAGTAATTGTGGTAGAGGACCTGAATGCTAAAGTAGGAGAAACTTTTAGAGAGGGTGTGGTAGGTAAGTTTGGGGTGCCAGGTGTAAATGATAATGGGAGTCCTTTGATTGAACTTTGTATAGAAAGGGGTTTAGTTATAGGTAATACATATTTTAAGAAAAAGAGGATAAACAAGTATACAAGATATGATGTAGGGCGAAATGACAGTAGTTTGTTGGATTATGTATTGGTAGATAAAAGACTGTAGAGTAGACTTCAGGATGTACATGTTTATAGAGGGGCCACAGATATATCAGATCACTTTCTAGTTGTAGCTACACTGAGAGTAAAAGGTAGATGGGATACAAGGAGAATAGAAGCATCAGGGAAGAGAGAGGTGAAGGTTTATAAACTAAAAGAGAAGGCAGTTAGGGTAAGATATAAACAGCTATTGGAGGATAGATGGGCTAATGAGAGCATAGGCAATGGGGTCGAAGAGGTATGGGGTAGGTTTAAAAATGTAGTGTTAGAGTGTTCAGCAGAAGTTTGTGGTTACAGGAAAGTGGGTGCGGGAGGGAAGAGGAGCGATTGGTGGAATGATGATGTAAAGAGAGTAGTAAGGGAGAAAAAGTTAGCATTTGAGAAGTTTTTACAAAGTAGAAGTGATGCAAGGAGGGAAGAGTATATGGAGAAAAAGAGAGAGGTTAAGAGAGTGGTGAAGCAATGTAAAAAGAGAGCAAATGAGAGAGTGGGTGAGATGTTATCAACAAATTTTGTTGAAAATAAGAAAAAGTTTTGGAGTGAGATTAACAAGTTAAGAAAGCCTAGAGAACAAATGGATTTGTCAGTTAAAAATAGGAGAGGAGAGTTATTAAATGGAGAGTTAGAGGTATTGGGAAGATGGAGGGAATATTTTGAGGAATTGTTAAATGTTGATGAAGATAGGGAAGCTGTGATTTCGTGTATAGGACAAGGAGGAAAAACATCTTGTAGGAGTGAGGAAGAGCCAGTTGTGAGTGTGGGGGAAGTTCGTGAGGCAGTACGTAAAATGAAAGGGGGTAAGGCAGCCAGAATTGATGGGATAAAGATAGAAATGTTAAAAGCAGGTGGGGATATAGTTTTGGAGTGGTTGGTGCAATTATTTAATAAATGTATGGAAGAGGGTAAGGTACCTAGGGATTGGCAGAGAGCATGCATAGTTCCTTTGTATAAAGGCAAAGGGGATAAAAGAGAGTGCAAAAATTATAGGGGATAAGTCTGCTGAGTATACCTGGTAAAGTGTATGGTAGAGTTATTATTGAAAGAATTAAGAGTAAGACGGAGAATAGGATAGCAGATGAACAAGGAGGCTTTAGGAAAGGTAGGGGTGTGTGGACCAGGTGTTTACAGTGAAACATATAAGTGAACAGTATTTAGATAAGGCTAAAGAGGTCTTTGTGGCATTTATGGATTTGGAAAAGGCGTATGACAGGGTGGATAGGGAGGCAATGTGGCAGATGTTGCAAGTGTATGGTGTAGGAGGTAGGTTACTGAAAGCAGTGAAGAGTTTTTACGAGGATAGTGAGGCTCAAGTCAGAGTATGTAGGAAAGAGGGAAATTATTTCCCAGTAAAAGTAGGCCTTAGACAAGGATGTGTGATGTCACCGTGGTTTTTTAATATATTTATAGATGGGGTTGTAAGAGAAGTAAATGCGAGGGTCTTGGCAAGAGGCGTGGAGTTAAAAGATAAAGAATCACACACAAAGTGGGAGTTGTCACAGCTGCTCTTTGCTGATGACACTGATGACAAAGGTGAATACAGGAAAGAGTAAGGTTATGAGGATAACAAAAAGATTAGGTGATGAAAGATTGAATATCAGATTGGAGGGAGAGTATGGAGGAGGTGAATGTATTCAGATATTTGGGAGTGGACGTGTCAGCGGATGGGTCTATGAAAGATGAGGTGAATCATAGAATTGATGAGGGGAAAAGAGTGAGTGGTGCACTTAGGAGTCTGTGGAGACAAAGAACTTTGTCCTTGGAGGCAAAGAGGGAAATGTATGAGAGTATAGTTTTACCAACGCTCTTATATGGGTGTGAAGCATGGGTGATGAATGTTGCAGCGAGGAGAAGGCTGGAGGCAGTGGAGATGTCATGTCTGAGAGCAATGTGTGGTGTGAATATAATGCAGAGAATTCGTAGTTTGGAAGTTAGGAGGAGGTGCGGGATTACCAAAACTGTTGTCCAGAGGGCTGAGGAAGGGTTGTTGAGGTGGTTCGGACATGTAGAGAGAATGGAGCGAAACAGAATGACTTCAAGAGTGTATCAGTCTGTAGTGGAAGGAAGGCGGGGTAGGGGTCGGCCTAGGAAAGGTTGGAGAGAGGGGGTAAAGGAGGTTTTGTGTGCGAGGGGCTTGGACTTCCAGCAGGCATGCGTGAGCGTGTTTGATAGGAGTGAATGGAGACAAATGGTTTTTAATACTTGACGTGCTGTTGGAGTGTGAGCAAAGTAACATTTATGAAGGGGTTCAGGGAAACCGGCAGGCCGGACTTGAGTCCTGAAGATGGGAAGTACAGTGCCTGCACTCTGAAGGAGGGGTGTTAATGTTGCAGTTTAAAAACTGTAGTGTAAAGCACCCTTCTGGCAAGACAGTGATGGAGTGAATGATGGTAAAGTTTTTCTTTTTCGGGCCACCCTGCCTTGGTGGGAATCGGCCAGTGTGATAATAAAAAATAAAATAATATATGTGGGGATAGTGCCTGCATTCTGAAGGTGGTGTGGCGATACTGCAGTCACAAGGGTAATCTGAATTGTAATGTCATCATACTTCTGGAACGAGAGAATGAATAATGGTAAATGTACTTTCTTCTCTGGCTCACCCTACCTTGGCAGGTCACAGCCCTTGTGGTAAAAGAACAAAAAAAATTCACTACATGACCCATCAAGTCCAATGATTTAATTAAATAATAAGTTAATTATAATTACAAAACTTCTAGGTAGTAGGTTGGTAGACAACAACCACCCAGGGAGGTACTACCATCCTGCCAAGCGAGTGTAAAACGAAAGCCTGTAATTGTTTTACATGATGGTAGGATTGCTGGTGTCCTTTTTTCTGTCTCAAACATGGAAGATTTCAGGTACGTCTTGCTACTTCTACTTACACTTAGGTCACACTACACATACATGTACAAGCACATATATACACACACTCCTCTGGGTTTTCTCTTATTTTCTTTCTAGTTCTTTTTCTCGTTTATTTCCTCTCATCTCCATGAGGAAGTGAAACAGAATTCTTCCTCCGTAAGCCATGCGTGTTGTAAGAAGCTATTAAAATGTCAGGAGCAAGGGGCTAGTAACCCCTTCTCCTGTATAAATTACTAAATTTAAAAAAAACCTTTCGTTTTTCTTTTTGGGCTACCCTGCCTCGGTGGGATACAGCTGGTTTGTTGGAAAACTACATAACTATAAATTAATAAATCACAATAACTTTGCTAAGAAATATTAAAATTTCAAGACACAGCAGCCAAAAAATGGAAGTTTAATAAATTTTCCTATATTCTACAAATATTTGAATGAGTATTAATGAAAACACATCAGACTGAAGGAGGGAGTATGGAGGATGTGAATGTGTTCCGATATTTGGGAGTAGACTTGTCAGTGGATGGGTCTATGAAAGACTAGGCAACCCACAAAATTGAAGGGAAAAAGGTGGGTGGTGCATTGCGGCATCTGGAGACAAAGAACATTATTCATGGAGACAAAAGCAAGAATGTATGAGAGTATGTATTGTGGTACTAACACTCTTGTACAGGTGTGAAGCATGGGCTGTGAATGTTGCAGTGAGGAGGCTGGAGACAGTAGAGATGTCATGTTTGAGGACAATGTGTGACATGCACATTATGCACAGAATTTGTAGCTTGGAGATTAGGTGGTGGTATGGGGTTACTAAAAGTATTATTCACAGGGCTGAGGAGGGGTTGGTGAGATGGTGTGGACATTAGAGAGGATGGACCAAAATAGGAGAGGTGTATAAATCTGTAAGAGGGAAGACAGGGTAACAGTCAGCCTAGGAAAGGTTGAAGGGAGGGAGTAAAGGAGTGGGAGGGTCCTGGACATTCTGCAGGTGCAAGTACATTGAGAGTGCAGGCCAATGAAGAGCTATTGGAGTGTAAGCACGGTAACATTTTGTGATGGGATTCAAGTCAACCAGTTAGCCGAACTCAAGTCATGGAGGTAGAAGTGCAATGCCTGCACTCTGAAGAAGAGGTAGGGATATTTGCAGTTTGGAGGGGCATCTGAACTGTAGTACTGACATGCCTCTGGCAAGACTGAGTGAATGATGGTGAAAGTGTTTCTTCTTTTTTGGGGTCATCCTACCTCGGTGGGAGATAGCCAGTGTGTTAAAAATAAAAAATAATCTTTTACTAATAAATATTAAAATCTATGCTACCAATTACCAGGACTTTTCCATTGAGGACACAGCAAAATCACTTTTTAAGAATTAAGAAACAAAATGTTAATTATCTTGTACTGTAAACCAAGATGATTTACCACAAATTATCTTGACACCACAAAAATACAGTGAATATATCATGTATAATCACATGAATGAGCCTGCCTATATACACACCCTCTTTCATCTACCAAAATAAAACTTTACCTATTAACTGCGGTGCATTTCCTCTAACACCATCCTGGCTTACACAGCCTTCATAGAATACGGAGACATCGTAAAGAGCATCAAACTTATCATGCAGATGCTCAGCTACAAGCCATGTGCCTTTAACCTTAGGGATGAGGTGGTGCTTCAAAACCTGCCAACAAGTGAAAATTATTGAATGTGTATGCTAAAAGATTAACAAAGCTTTTTAACTGCAAAGAACTTGTGCAACATTCTCATACAATATCTGTGACCTTCATATTTAATTACAATTTGTTCCTAGGGGATATAAAACAGCTTACTGATAGAAGGAAATGCTTGTTAGACTTCTCAACATCTTGTTAGGTTGTTGGAAAAACTACTGGTGCATTGATGAGTAATTTTCTTTACATGTATAAATGAACAAGCCATCTACTGAACAAGGTTCTACATTTTTCTGTAATGCCTTAAGAGCATTTAAAAATATGTATATTAAGAGATTAAACATAACCCTTCACAAATGCTTGGATAAATTTCAATAAGAAACAAAAGTACAGTACAGTACACACTGGCCAATTGACAGGTCTAAGTTTCTAGACATATGGCAAGTTTGACTTACCTTAATTTTATATTCATACAAGAATAAATTTCAGAGGAAACACTTTGGTATCAAGCCATGTGTTGTGCAATTTTGAAAATAGCTCGGTACTGAATCTCACCATATACAAAGGAAGCAAAACACTGGAAGATACCATGAAGTTATTGTGTATCTCCAGTAATGTGGTGAGAAAAATGATGAATCATATCTTGGTAAGGGCCATGCATAATACACTGATAATAAGAAAACATGCCCTTTATTCTACGATTTCCTGTAGGTGAACATGACAGACGTGTGGTACAATGTGCAGAACATGTAAACATGCCCAAGTTTAATGCAGGAACTAGTACTGGTGAGGTGCAGGGGTTTCATGCCAATGACACCGTGACATTTCAGTGGAATCACAAATGTGGTAAGACATTGTTGACATTCATGCACATGCACAAATTAAAGACAAAGGAAAGGTGACTATAGAAAATAATGAACCCAATCTGAGATCAGCTGCTGTTATGGATTGCATGGCCAATATGCATTTGGTGGACAAATGTGACGTGCAGATTGGGTTTGTTGATCGTGTCCAAAAGTTACAAGTGGTATATGAAACTTTCCTTCCATCTTGTTGACACTGCAATGCTGAATACATATAAATCAAATATCCTCTCATTTTAATTATGGTGATCATTTCCCAACTAAATGTCCTGCTACAGACAAGAAAAGAATGGACTCAGAAAATATGTTCTACCTGTGTACACAAGACAAGGCACCCAGTACAGTGCAGGGATGTTTATTTTATGTGTAGGAATGTAAAACACTGCTGTGTATGGAGCCATGTTTCAGGGACTTCCACAGACTACAGCAATTCTAGGAGCATAACTAGTGCCTGTATACAGCAGGGCCCCGCTTTACGGCATTTGGCCTTATGGCATTCCGCTAATACTGTGATTTCAAATTATGACCAAAACTTGTTAAATGGCTCCCAGTCTTTCTAACACGGTGTGCCCCACCCAGTTTGTTTACATTCTCTGTGAGCACACCTTCCTATTATGTCTGGAAACTTTCCAAAATTTCAAGTGTTTTAAAGTTATTGCATATTTTAATGTATGTACTCTGATAAATATAGAGTGGACCCTCAACTAACGGCGGCATCGTCTAACGCCAAAATCGACTAACGGCTCTCTTTGGCGTCAAAATATTGGCTCTACCAACGCCGAAAAACTCGTCTAAAGGCTTTCATCCCGAACGTGTCCATGCGCCCTGAGTGGGCCCAGCCACTCCAAGACTCCATGTATAGCCAGTGTGCCATTGTTTACAAGCTGTTGCAGTCGATTCCATGTATACATGCGATATATTTTGCATTATTCCATTGATTTTATAGTGCTTGTAACTGCTAAATAAGCCACCATGGGCCCAAAGAAAGTTTCTAGTGCCAACCCTGTGATAAAGAAGGAAAGAAACAATAAAATTCAAGAAAAAACTCGTAGCAAAGTACCAAAGTGGAGGAGGAAGAGAGAGGGGAGAATGCCTTCTGCAGAGATTCAGTGATTCTACGATATGTATGATACTAAAGCAGCAGGTATTGATAAAGGCTATAGTGCCAGCCAGCGATTAAGTGTAGAATTAACAGTGTAGCAAGTAAGTTAAGTGAGTAAGCAATAGAGAAAGACATAAGAATAACTCTCCAATGTTGCTGGATGTGTGTATATCCGCTGAACATACTCCGGCCTGCTATCTTCCACTACCCTAAACCTCTGCCAGCATCTCCTCCATCAAACTAACTAATTAAATTAACATCTCCTCCAAGGTAATTGTAAATATAAAAGTGTAAGCATAAAAGTAAATATTTCTTTCTTTCAACACACTGGCCGTATCCCACCGAGGCGGGGTGGCCCAAGAGGAAAAACGAAAGTTTCTCCTTTTACATTTAGCAATATATACAGGAGAAGGGGTTACTAGCCCCTTGCTCCTGGCATTTTAGTCGCCTCTTACAACACACATGGCTTACGGAGGAAGAATTCTGTTCCACTTCCCCATGGAGGAAAAGTAAATTTTTTTTTTTTTTTTTTTAACAAGTCGGCCGTCTCCCACCGAGGCAGGGTGACCCAAAAAAGAAAGAAAATCCCCAAAAAGAAAATACTTTCATCATCATTCAACACTTTCACCACACTCGCACATTATCACTGTTTTTGCAGAGGTGCTCAGAATACAACAGTCTAGAAGCATACACATATATAGATACACAACATATCCCTCCAAACTGCCAATATCCCAAACCCCTCCTTTAAAGTGCAGGCATTGTACTTCCCATTTCCAGGACTCAAGTCCGACTATATGAAAATAACCGGTTTCCCTGAATCCCTTCACTAAATATTACCCTGCTCACACTCCAACAGATCGTCAGGTCCCAAGTACCATTCGTCTCCATTCACTCCTATCTAACACGCTCACGCACGCTTGCTGGAAGTCCAAGCCCCTTGCCCACAAAACCTCCTTTACCCCCTCTCTCCAAGTAAATATATTAAGTGTAAATATAAAAGGACCCCATGGAAATACGAAGTCACTGCCTTTTTTGGGTTATCCTAGGTACTTTACACATATGCTGCTATGTATGATAATCTATGTAACTGTATTTGTGTATACAGTACCTGAATAAACTTATTTATAAATTAAAATGTAAATATTTCTTATTTATAAATTACATACATTGTTTAAGTGTGATGGTGGTGGTGCTGGCAAAATCCTCCACCACCTCCAACATGGCGGCCCTTAAACCCAACAATAACACTTACACCATTTACTTCTCTCATCCATTATGACATTTTATTCATTCTAGAGTATATATCATGTTTCTATGTTATTAATATTGTTTATAATGTCATATTAGATGAATTGTGATAGATAAATAAGCCGTAGAGATGATATTAGCGTCGTATTGAAGCATAATAAACTTGCCTTCCTCTTGCCTCCTACATGTCTATCATACACCAACAAGTCAAGTCAATAAAGGTAAGTGTGATGTTAAATGTTCATTTATCCATTTTATTAGTGCTTTATATTTATTTGTCATTGTTTTCTGTATGTATATTTATATTTAATCTTTAAAAAAAATATTTTTTAATACTTTTGGCTGTCTGAAACGGATTAATTGGATTTCCATTATTTCTTATGGGGAAAATTAATTTGACTAATGGCTAATTCAACTAAAAGCTAGTGCTCTGGAATGGATTAAAGCCGTTGGTTGAGGGTCCAGTGTACTTGTGTACCTGTACCTAAATGTACTTACACACTGTGCTAGTGTGCAGATACACATTAAAATCACTAAGTCTCTCTCCATCTTGATGCCATATTAATAATCATACGTAATTTCTTGGGCGCAGTAAATGTTGTATATTACGTTAATATAGACATTTCCATTGATCCATTTATGACATTTTTTTTCAAAATTATGTACGTAATAAAAACGCTGCATAACAAACATGATAAATACACCCCACTGTAGAATAAATTAACATAAATATGAGACATGGTAGCCAGGCGACCTGTACGACTTTTAGGACCTGTGGCAGCCAGGTGATTTGTAATCCAACATCAGACAAAATGTGTCACTATAATATTACTGGGGGTAACTAGAAAATTCTTCCTTTCGTATGCCTTCACTTCGAGCATCATTTCTTTTAAAAATGGTGTTACATGAGAATGGGAGTGTTTCTCTATTTATTCTACTGTATCAACGTGGACACAACTCGTACACAATGTAAAGTGTTTGTATTATGGTATATTATTATTATTATAATCAAAAAGAAGCGGTAAGCCACAAGGGCTATACATCTGTATTATGGTATAATACAAACCTGTATGAACAAAAACCAGATGTGTTCACCTGGTTTGTTTACATTAGGTGTGGGTGAGGAGGGGCGGGGAAGGCTGCCCTGGCTAGCTACCATAATTCCCAAACCTGACATCCTACAAATAAACCTCACCTCTCACCCTACATTAACCCTTTCAGGGTCGACAGGCCCTCTCCCAGACTTATTCTCAGGGTCGCCAAATTTAAAAAAAAAAAAAAAAAAAATTCTTATGAAAAGAGAGAATCTTTTCCCAATCATAATGACACCAAAAGTATGAAATTTGATGGAAAAATTTACGGACTTATGCTCTCGCAAAGTTGGCAGTCTCGACGATGTTTACGCATCAGCGATTTTGCCCACTTTGAGCCCTATTTTCGGCCAATTCCAGTGTACTAGTCAACAAAAATCATAACTATTTCGCTAGAACTCCATTTTTTCTATCGAATGAGTACAAGAAACCACCCATTTACTGATTTCAACTATCCAATAAAGTGGTCAGAATTTAGCAAAAGATGCCAATTTCCAAATACGGTCCAGAATAAACAAGGAAGACATTCCTGGCACTAAAACAACATTTCCTCTGTCCATTAGTCACATCCCCATGCCCCTCTTACATTCTTTTGCTTTCCACTTTGAATTTTTATTCTCACAAAAAATAGAAGATTTACTGTTATGCAGACTACTGCATTAGTGTAGAATATGGAATAATAATATCAGCGCACTTGTGAAAGA